TTGTTGGGAAGTGGAACAAAGGTGACTCTTGTTATGTTTTAGCAAAACCCTGGCAGCATTTTGCCCCTGATGTAGAGATTTGTGGAAATTTGAACTTGAGAGAGATGATTTAGGGTATCTGGTGGAAGAAATTTCTAAACAGCAAGGCATTCAAGAGGTGACTTGGGTGCTATTAAAAGCATTCAGCTTTATAAAGGAAACAGACCATAAAAGTTTAGAAAATTTGCAGGCTGACAACGTGATAGAAAAGAAAAACTGATTTTCTGAGAAGAAATTCAAGCCAGCTGCAGAAATTTGCATAAGTAATGAGGAGCCAAATGTTAATCCCCTAGACAATGGGAAAAATGTCTCCAGAGCATGTCAGAGGTCTTCATGGTAGCCCCTCCCATGACATGCCAGGAGGCCTATACGAAAATGGTTTCATGCGCCTGGCCCAGGGTTCCCATGCTGTGTGCATCATAGGGACTTGGTGCCCTATGTCCCACCCACTCCAGCTGTGGCTGAAAGATGTCAACATAGAGCTCGGGCCATGGCTTCAAAGGGTGCAAGCCCCAAGGTTTGACAGCTTCCACATGGTGTTCTGTCTGCAAGTCTACAGAAGTCAAGAAGTGGGGATTGGGAACCTCCTCCTAGATTTCAGAAGATGTATGGACATGTCTGGATGCCCAGGCAGAAGTTTGCTGCAGGGGCAGGGTCCTCATGGAGAACCTCTGCTAGGGCAATGCAGATGGGAAATGTGGGGTCAGAGCCCCCACACAGAGTCCCTATTGTGGTACCACCTAGGGGAGCTGTGAGAAGAGGGCCACCATCTTCCAGATCCCAGAATGGTAGATCCACTGACAGCTTGCACCATTTGCCTGGAAAAGCCACAGACACTCAATGCCAGTCTGTGAAAGCAGCTGGGAGGGAGGCTATATCCTGCAAAGCCACAGGGGCAGAGCTGCCGAAGACCATGGGAACCCACCTCTTGCATCAGCATGACCTGGATGTAAGACCTGGAGTCAAAGGATATAATTTTGGAGCTTTAAAATTTGTCTGCCCCACTGGACTTTGGACTGAAATGGACCTTGTGACCACTTGGTTTTGGCCAGTTTCTCCCATTTGGAATGGCTGTATTTATACAAATCCTGTATCCCCATTGTATCTAGGAAGTAATTAGCTTGCTTTTGATTTTACAGGCTCATAGTTGGAAGGGACTTGCCTTGTCTCAGATGAGACTTTGGACTGTGGGTTTTTGGGTTAATGCTGAAATGAGTTAAGACTTTGAAGGGCTGTTGGGAAGGCATAATTGGTTTTGAAATGTGAGCACATGAGATTTGGAGGGGCCAGGGGCAGAATTATATGGTTTGGCTCTGTGTCGCCACTCACATCTCATGTTGATTTGTATTCCCTTGATTCCCATGTGTTGTGGGAGGCACCCAGTGGGAGACAATTTGAATCATGGGGGCGGTTTACCCCATACTGTTCTCATGGTAGTGAATAAGTCTCATGAGATCTGATGGTTTTATCAGGGGTTTCCACTTTTGTATCTTCCTCATTTTCTCTTGACACCACCATGTAAGAAGTGCCTTTTACTTCCTGCCATGATTCTGAGGGCTCCCTAGCCATGTGGAACTGTAAGTCCAATTAAACATTTTTTTCTCCCCAGTCTCAGGTACATCTTTATCAGCAGTGTGGAAATGGACTAATGCACCTATGCTCAGCACTTTTTAAAATTACGGTCTCCGTTCCCCACATTCATCACTACTATCCCCTGACATCTCATGGTTCCCTCTCTTACCTTGCATTATGTTTTCCAGTAGCACTAATCATCACATAATATACAATGTAATTTGCTTTTTCTTGGTAAAGTTTGTTTTGACTTTATGTTTAAACTAGAATTAATGTTGCACAGGGACCTGGAATTTTTAAAGCATTTTGTTCACTGTTGTATCCCAAGTATGGCAATCAATGCCTGGGTCATAGCATGTATTTACTGTATACATGATTATTGAGTGAACGGAGACACTTTGGCTGGAAGTCTGTTAACTCAGTAAAAGCACATAGGTTATTTCTTGAAAGAAATTCCTATTGGAAATTTTAAATACAAAATGGAGAAACAAACTATTTCTTAATAAATATAGTTTGCTTAACATAAATACAAAAGATTGCTAGACACAATGTTTCAAAGGAACATAGGTGAATATTAGTGAAGTCATAGACTCTTGATGGTGAATGTTGTAAATGAAAATATCTTCTAAGAATCCACTAGAGATCTAAAATTTCTTTCTGTTTTATTTTTTTGAGACCAAGTCTCGCTCTGTCACCCAGGCTGAAAGGCTGAAGTGCACTGGGTGTTATTTTGGCTCTCTGCAACCTCTACCTCCTGGGTTCAAGCAATTCTCCTGCCTCATCCTCCTGAGTAGCTGGGATTACAGGCATGCACCACCATGCCCAGCTAATTTTTGTACTTTTAGTAGAGACAGTGTTTCACTATGTTGGCCAGGCTGGTCTCAAACTCCTGACCTCAGGTACTCCACCCACCTTGGCCTCCCAAAGTGCTGGGATTACAGGTGTGAGCCACCATGCCTGGCCTGAAATTTCTTAAAAGTGTGTGAATGTGACTTTTGGGGGTGTTAAGGGGAAGTCAGGATTGTGCTTTCTGAGCAGAGACCATCATATTGAACCCAGTATTGAACACAGTGTCATAGTAGGTGCTCAGTAAATCTTTATGGATCAGTTTTGAACCGAGTTTAGATAAAAATACTGTCTCTTTTTTTTTTAAAGCAAGACTGGGAACTTAAGGAGAAATATTTTTATTATTTTATTAAATGAAATAAACCAATGAGACACAGTATTTTATGCCCTGATTATTTCTCTTCATCAACTTGCCCTTTGTTACTGTGAGGAAACTAGAGTCCATAATTAAAGAATTAAACCTCCTTTATTCACTTATGCAGTGCACACTATCACATGCCATTTGATGTTTATTTTCCACATGAAGGGAGTTTAACTTATTTAGTTTTCTTCTCTTGGGGCCTCAGTTGTCTGACCCACAGAAGCCTCCAGGTTTGTCTGGAAATGACCTCCATTTTCACTTTCCTATGGACTCACTCACCTTAGGGCAGGTAAAGAAAAGTGCTGGGTGATTTAATGAAATCAAATCCTCATCCACCTTGGCTAGCAATAGATGGAGAAGCTCCCTATGGTTAGGAGGGAGTTCTTTCTTATCCCTGAGACACACTTTCTCTTTGCATCCGACAAAGCTGGTTTCAGAGACTGCGGATCTTATTTTCACACATGTGTCCAAGGTGAACCTAAATCCACTCCTTTATTCCCCATGGTACAATCAAGGCATGAAAGAATGATTAACAGGGCTCCCAGATAACAGAACAGAATTAACTCTAGAGGGTACCACTTGATATTTTATTATATGGATACCTGGTACCTAACAGTAGTCTCAATTTTCCTACAACCTGTCTCCCTTCCTTGCCCCATGTCTAAAAGCTTCCTTGAGTCAAGGGCCAGTTTTCTCCCACCTTCTTTTAAGTATGTTTAGATTCATTAAAATCTTAACTAAAGAGAGTGGGCTCAGAGAATGATGATCATTCCTTGGTCCTGCCCATCTAATCCTTGCCTTACAAGGCTTGATTTTCTATAACAGAACCTGCCTCTTCCTTGATGTCTAAAACTGGGAAAAATCAGACCCTTTAGAAGTGACAAAGTTTTTCTTCTCCCAAGGATGTAAACTTAGTTTACAGTTCCGACTAGCAAGCCCTCCTGAGCACAGTGTGACACACCCCACCCTCATACAAATGATACCTCTCTGTGCCTCAATTTCTCATAAGCAAAATGAAGATATACTGGTACCTCTTAGGTTTTGAGTACTAAGTATAAATTACTTTAAAAAAAGTACCAAGCACATAGTAAATGTCATTTAAATTCTAACTGCCATTGTATCTTTAGGCTCAAACACAAGTAACCCTAATATAATCTGGGGCTTTATATGAGGCAGTCTTTTGGGGGAGTTGTATTCAAAGTACCACAGACTGACAACTCAAGCATAGCTTAAGATAGCTCAGATCTTTACTCTTGATCTTGAGAAGCATCCAGGAAGAGGAAATTTGTTATAATCACAAGAAGAGAACCTGTGGTTGCCAAATGTATTCTGGATCTGATCATGGGGTATTGGATACATGGCAGTAAATCTAGGGCTGAACTGAAGGTGTGTGTACTGGTAGAGAATATAGAAAGCAGATGCAGTGACAGAATGGACAATACATCTTGGAGAAAAGTGAAAACAGTAGTAATAGCTAACATTCATTCAATGCTCACTAAGTTCTAGGCACTGCACTAAGATATGTATATACACTAATTTCATTTAATATTCACAACATTACAATGGGGTAGGCATTATTAATATCTCTATACTTCTACTGTGCCTGTTTTATAAGTAAGGAAGCTGAAGATCAGAGAGGTTAAAGTACTAAACTGAGGCCACACAGCTTCTAAGTGGCAAGGCTGGAAACTTCCAATAAAAATATATCTGTCTCATTCAAGAACCCAATCACCCTATTAAGAGTCAGGCATTGTAAAATGACTTAGATGCCATATGCAAAGAGCTGAAGCTGACAGGTTGTTAGAAATGGGAAGTAGTAATCCAAGTGCAGCACTATCGTTTAAATATGTTTCCCAAATTTCTTGTGTTGGAAACTCAATTCCCCAAATCCATATGTCAATTGGAGATAGGATCTTTGCAAGGTAATTAGGATTAGATAAGGTTGTTAGGGTGGAGCTTCCGCTATGAGAACAACAGCTTCATAAGAGAGGAAGAGAGACCTGAGCTGGCATGTGTGCTCTTGCCTTCTCATCATGTGATACCCTCTGCCATGTTATGACACAGCAAGAAGGCTCTCACCAGATGCCAGCATCGTGCTCTTGGAACTCCCAGCCTCCAGAACTGTGAGATGAATACAATTCCTTTCTTTAGAAATGACCTAATCTGTGATATTCTGTTACAGCAACAGAAAATGGGCGAAGACATGGAGCAAGGGGCAGAATGATTCTTGAAGATGCTGAGTAACTTCTGGTATGTTTGCTTTTTTTATATACATTTTGCCATACTCTTGGGATATGAATTTTTATGCTTAAAACAACAATACTACATGCAGTTCTGGGGAAAATATCTTATAAGTTATGGTGCATGTCTTGTTTGTTTCATCTTTCATTCTACAATGAATATAGAATCTGCTACCACTGAATCATGTACTGTGACTACAGATTTAAAGAAACTCTGTTACCAAGGACCCCAGAGTCCAGGGGAGGAAAACAACATTTATTATACAATGAAATGAGACATAAAACATAGTTCACCATGAGAAGGAAACCTTGGTCTGCCTCTGGGAGTGAGGCAGGCTTCCTGGAGGAGGTCACCCTTGAGGACAGCTGTAGAAAAAGGAGCAGGAATTTGTCGACTGCATAAGGGGTGTGGAGGAAGGCATTCCAGGCACAGAAAATTGCCCTTCCTGTCTGAATTCCACATCCATCTGGCCTGTGTTAAAATGCTTAGGTATTTACTAAACATGCATCTTACCAGAGGCAATGCTGTTTTTTAAAGGACACAATTAATTAGGCCTCAGGATATTGGTAATCAGGAAGAGTGTAGCATTGATGATATTTTCCTCAGACTTCCAGCACACATGCTAGCTACCTGCTTCTCCCTCACGGGCTTCAACCTGTGCCCTGAGGCAGTTTGACCCTCACATTTTCCTGCCTTGCTTTTGGCCTTGAGAATCCGGGTATCAGTAGGTGCCTTTGCCTCTTTTTGATGGAGCTGTTTTTTGCCTCCTTTCCAGTTGGTGCCCTCCTCGACTCTGGCAGGTGTCCAAGCCCTGTTGTTCTCCCTGCACGGGGCGGCTGAGCAGTGCTCTGTAAATTATGCACCGGTCCCACAATGTTTGGGGAGCCTGTGGACCCATTTTGTCTACCTGGAGGTAAATTATTTAGCAAAGGCAATTTAAATGATTCAGAGGGGATGGTGTGAAGTCCGGCTGTGGAACAGCTTGTCTGGGGAAATGTAACTGACTCTGGCGTGCGGAAGACTCAGCTCCAAGGCAGAACTGAGCACATTTTACCTGCTCCCTAGATCCTGTAGGTTCCATGCCCTACCTGTCTCCAGACACTGTCCCACATTAATAATCATTATAATTTAAAAGTCTATGATCTCATTTGGTGCTTGTTTCACCTCTGCAGCAGGGAGGTTTATAATAGTGTGGTCTGGGGAAGCAAGCTGGGTCTGGACAGGTTTTGTTATGAGTCCCGCTTTTCTAACCTGCTGGACCTCAGTCTCCTCTTCTGTAAATTGGGGATAATAAAAGCAACTTTTAATTGTTAACATCTCCATTTGACTATCTAATCTAAGAAATCTGGCCAAGACAAGCTCCTTAATATTCTGTCCCATGCTGTCCACAAACCTGCGCTAGGAACAGTGTCTCCATCTCAGTAAATGAGAACCTTTTACTCAGTTACTCAGGACCCAGCCCTACACGTCGTGTTTGATTCGCTTCTCTCCTGCAGCCTCCATAGTGAATCTCTTCACTGGTCCTGTCTGCCCTACTCCCAAATGCATAGCCCATGGGATCCTTCTCACCAGGTCTTCTGCAGCTCTCCAGCTGAAACCTCTGTCAGTTCAGCTGTGCTGTTGAAAAGCCCCCTTACTCATTCTCCTGCAGCTGCCTTTACCTCTCCAACCCTGTCTCATCCCCACCAAGCAATCAAGACGTTCTTTAAAAAATGAACAATAACAAATAAATTGGATGATATTCTTCCTTCTTAACCCTCTGATGACTGCTAATTACCCTTAAAATAGAATCCATGGACTTTTTTTTTTTTTTAAATCACCTACAGGCCTTACCTGATCGGGCTCCAGCACACCTCTCCCCACTTAACATTAACCCCACTGGCCTTGGGATTCTAGAACATTCCAAACATGTTCCCACCTGAGGGCCTTTGCTCTCGTTGGCCCCTCAGGCTGGACTGGTCATCCCCTGGCTTGGCTAGTTCCATTTCAATGTCCAGGCATCTGGGGAAATGTTACCTCCTCATGGGACTTCCCTGACAACCTTGAAGAGTCACCTTCCTGTCACACTGTAGTGGCTTTGTTTCCTTCATGCCACTTATCCCTACATCAGTTCTGACATTGAGCTTCATGGTTTGTTCACCATCCCCTCCACTGGAAGACAGCTCCTTGCAGGATGGGCTCTTTTCAGTATTATTCACCATGATAGCCCCAGATAGGGTCATTAGGTAAAATACAGGACAACCAGTTAAACTTGAATTTCAGATAAACAACAATTACCTTTTTAATATAAAAATATTGCACAGGGCATACTTACGCTAAAAAAAGAAAAAAATTTGTTGTCCATGTATTTTTATTTGCTAAGTATGGCAACCCTAGTCCCTTCAGAACTGCCATCTCTGTTGAGACTTTATAAATACTTGTTGAAAGAAAGAAAGAAAGAAATAGTGAGTGAGCAATGAGATCAAATAAAATCTGCAGACTGAATTGCTTTTATCTTTTTGCCTTCATATTCCTAATATCTTGTCAATGCTTGACATATGATCTTTTTCCCCTTCCTATTATATCGTTAGTTTCATTTTGCAGTTGAATAAATAGGGTTAGAGAATAGGAGGCTTTTCCAGCGTTAAGCAGCTAGGGATAACATCACTGAATATAGAAGAAAGTGACTTCTGAAAGGTGTGTTAAATCTGTAAAAGCTTATTTCCCTTCTCCCATAAAAGAAGTTGATGTAAAGGCAGTCTAGGCCCGGTATGGTGTTTCCAAGACCATGCTTCAGTCTTTCTCCTCCAGAATCATCAGACCAGTTTCTAACCTCAAGTTTACTGTGCGGTCCTACGATGTCTGCTGGAAAGCCTGTCATCACATTCACATTCCAGGCAGACAGCAGGCGCAAGTGGAAGAGGACAAACATCATTTATTCCCTCCCCTTTAAGACCTTCCTGAAAGTCAGTCACCATGACTTTTCCCATTTCATTGGCTGAAACTTTATCTCATGACCATTCCTGGCTATAAAGCAGCTGGCAATGCCATCATTTCAGGGGTTTATATGTGCTATTTTAAATACTGGGGTCTGTTCTTAGGAGCAGAAGAGAATGGACATTGGGAAGCAAGAGCAGCCTCTGCTCTGGCGAGAGTGGGGCAGACAGAAAGATCCCTGGTGTATCCTTAGACTGCTGTACCCTATGCCTGCTCACAGGGCAGATAAGAGCCTTTTAAGGGTGAAGACAGGACTAGACCCCAGCCTCCTGGTCACATGACTCAGAGATCTCCCATATCCTTTTACCTTCTGTTGCATGGAGTGGAACGGGTCAGAGTCTGGGATGTGGATCTTTGTGTTTGTCTGAGACTTTTTCTGTGTGGGAGAGATTGTATCCTACACACAGTATAGAGGACATGGGGGTGCCCCGAAGCAATTACTATTGCTGGAAGTAAAGTGTAGAGACAGAAGTGGGGACTGGATGGTACTAGAGAGTTAGACACAAGTCAAGTAATGAGAGTTTGTGTCTGGTCTACACAGGATCCTATTAGATCTTAACAGGCTGCAGCAACAGTCTAAGCATAAAGAGGCAAAACTGAACAGAAACAGAACATGTTACGCCCGAGTCCAAAAGAAAACTAACAGGATGCACTGATGTGAATTAGTATCTTTAGGATAAAAATGATGGAAGTACTCCAGTAATATCAGCCATAATGTGTAAGGGAGTTATTTTCATCTCAGCCTGCAGAAGCAGAGAATTTCAATGAGGTGAGAGGTATGCTTTGCCATGCACAGGCTAGACCACACCTGTCACGGTGCCTGCAGTTCTGGGCTCTATATTTTAAAATGAAAAGGACAGACCAAAGTTTTAAAAGGAGAGGAGCCAGGATGGGATTGAAGAATCCTCAGGTTGTATATTTAACATTTTTATCAGTCACTTAGGTCATGCCTGCTTATCAAATTTGTGAATTACTCTAATCTGACAGAGGTGGTAGATATAGTGACAGGCAGAATCAGTCAAGAAGAACAATGAGCCAATTCCAGGCTATGAAATTGAAAACAGATCAAGGTATCTCACCCCCAAAAATGATAAGTATGTGAGGTAATGCATATGTTAATTAGCACTATTTAGCCATTTCAGAAAGCCTGCTTATTTCAAACAATATGCTGCACACAATAAATATATATAAGATCTGTGTCAACCAAAAAATTAAAATTAAAATTAAAATTAAAATCAAAGAAAAAAAAGATGTATTAAGGTAACATCCTGAAGTTTGGAAGAGCAATCCATTGTTCAAGAAAGGGATGAGAGAGACCTGGTACAATGGCTGTTCTAACAACTCAGCACTTCAGTGGGCAGCAGAGCTCATTGAAGTACCAGTGCATCTGTGTGTGTCCCGGGCTGGTGGATGGGGGGCTTCCAAGGAGCCTCCAGGCAGCACTGATACTCATGACTTCACCCAAGCCAGGGGTTTGACTTTGGCTTTGTGGGTTTAGATTTTCAAAGTATTCAAGCTTCCTGGACTTGGGGAGGCTGACTCACACTAACAATGCTTATAGGAGACTACAGATGCCAAAGTATTGATTTTCAGCATGAATTCTACTTGTTAGGTACCTTAAACCTGATCAGCATACATGTGGTTCTTCTTTCATGTAGAGAAACCACATAAGGAAACAAATAATACCTCTAAGGAGTTTTGAGGAGGACAGAACTGAAAAGACGGATGTGAGTAGTGTGATTCGAACGCTGTTAGAAGAGACTGATGTGTGCTTCTTCCTTAGGTGAAAGTTCTCAAGACTGGAAACATCTAGATAACCTCTAGCTATGCTAAGCTGCAGGCACTTTTATAGGCCTAGAACCCATTTCGTGTCTTTAAGGTGACTTGACAGAGTGTGGTTTTGTCCTCTTATTTTTTGGCATATTCTGCAACTCAGGAAACAGTCTTGTTTCCGTTTCTCTGTAGCACTCGAAGTGCATCAGCCTGCTCCTCCCTTTGCCTCAAGGTCCTACAGTGGCAAGCAGAGAGGAGACCAGCCTGGAGGGGTCTGCTCATTAAGCCTTCATTGCTGTCTACCCCAAGAAAACTCAGAGTCACTGTCTCCTAGGCACTCCTCAGGTAGAAAGAAATCTTTCCTTACCCTCCAAATCTGCTATCCTTCAGGGGTGGATTCTCAGGTACCTTCAACCAGCCCCCTGCTCTGTTCCAGCTTCCTGGGCATAAAGGCAAACAGTCCCAAGGTGTTTGGCTTTGACTTTTTCTCATGGCCTCCTTTCCCAGTGGGTGGCCGTATATATTCATTCACATGTCCAAGGGGACTCCTGCTTCCATCTCCCGTTTATTGATGTTCTTGTCATATCTCCCCCAGGAGCTTGTTGTGTCAGTCAAGGTCCCAGCAAGAAACAGATGGCACACTTACATGTGGATAATGTGAGATGAATTTAATAAAGGACTATTTACAAAGCTGGGAGCAGGGCTTAGGGAAACCACCACCAATAGTCCAATGCCAGAGGACTATGAAATCTAGGTGCTATTGTAGGCCTGAAACAGTGGAGAGAGGGGGAAGAGAGCCAGAAGACTGCAGGGGCTATGTGGAAGAAACACAGGACTCCCGGCTTTCAACAAAACTGGCCCATGGAAACCCCATGGCAATAGTAATAAATGCCACAGCCTCACTCACTTCCCTCCTTCCAATCTCCTGATGCACAACATTGGCCACGTGCAGTTGGTAGTCAGTGGTCAAGGGAGCCCAGCAGTGTGGTTTGGGTTCAGCTTCCCCAGGGAATTGCACAGGGTGGACAAAGATAGAGAGTGGATTTGGATAGGCAAATAGAATAATCCAGTAAAACCACTGAAGGCTAGACTTAGTTGTCAATGCCTTTATTTTTTGGTTTCCTGTCCCACACATAGTAGGTTTGCAGCAGTTGACTTGGCCATGGATTTCTTTTGGTAAGTCATGATCTTTGATCCCTATATTCCAGGACCTACCCCAGTACCCCCAAAAGATGCTCCGTAAATGTTTATGGGATGACTAGTGAATGAATGAATGAATGAATGAAGAGGTGAGCTCAGTGAGAATTTTCCCTTAATTTTGCTCACTGTTGCACTCCTTGGAGGTAGCCACTTCCCTGCTTCACTCATAGGCCAGTTCCAGTTATTAAATTTCTAAATTATCCTTCTGCCCATGGGGCTGACTCTCCAATGAGGTCTTGTAAATATTTGCTTCCATCTTCAGAGTCTAGACAAGGAGATCTTGCCTCAGGCACAGCCTCTGCTCTCTGGGATGTCTCACCTTTTTATCAAGGAAGGATTCTGCGCCAGATGCTTAACTTGTGTCCTACCAGGGAAGTTCCACGAGGAACATTCTGTGTTCACTTTAGGCAGATTGGATTGGCTTCTCTTTGCTGTACTTCTAGCTAGATGAACTGTTAAACAAATATCTATTACTCATCTGTCATATTCTAGGCACTGTGCTAGCATGTGATAATGTTCAAGTGGATAAGATACAGTTTGATGTAAGGGACAAGGAGCTGCAGTCCAGAGGGAGAGAAGACAAATAATAAATAATTATTTTACAGGGTAACACAGGCTTTGTTATTATGTTATTGTTTTATAATAATTATGGGAGCACAATGGGTAAGGAGGGCACTGTGGGAGCCTGGACGAGGAGCACCAACCCACCCGGAGGCTCAAGGAAAGCTTTCTGGAGGAGTTAACACCTGATCTTGTAGAATGGGAAAGAGCAAGATAATAAAGATAAATAATTCCAAGTCAAGTGGTGAGCAAGATCAAAATGACAGACACTTGATATAGCATGATGTGTGCAAGGAAATATGAACTAATCTGTATTAGTGATAACAGTTCAGGAATGGGGGTGAGACGCAGCCAGAGGAGCAGGCAGGGGTGAGGATATGGAAGGCATGGTAAGCTGAGCTAAGGACTTTGCAGCTAGGGTGAGGTGAATAAGGCCTATTTTAGACACAAAATGTAAAAGGGCTCTAAGGTCTCGATCACTAGGATAAGTAATATTAAATGCAATACTTTAGCTAATTCAAATTAATGCAAAAACCCATGGTGAAAAAAATAAAATTTTAAGATTTAATAGTATGGAGTGAATTCTTATAATTTCATGTTGCTTCAGTATCCATTTGAATATAACTTTAACTTTCTCATACCAGAAGCAGGCTCAGTCACCCTCGATGCAGTATCCAGTTTCACAACTCCTCTTAGTTCCTCAAGGTGGTTAATTCAGCTATCTGGCTTATACAACTCCTGGCGGTTACCTCTCCATGAGATGGCCAGATACAACTGACCTAATTAGCCCCACTGGTCTCCACACCCCTTATGGACTGTGCAGGTGTGCCATAGTGGCGACCTCTCAGTCACAGTGTGACCCCCATGGAACTAGTGCCTGCTTGTGCCACCAGTTAGAACTCTCCATGGGAAACCTGCTTGAGTAACTCCCAGGACCCCAATAAAGAATTTGGCTTACAGGTCCCCTTCTCTCTCTCTTGCTCCCCACCTGCTGGCTGAATGCACGTGTCCTCAGTGGTTTCCCCCTTTCCAGTGGGCCTGGGAGGCATACTGTCCCCTACTCTCTGGAATCTGTAAGTAGTAAATGTGTCTGCTATTTCATGCTTTATGTTGTGCTGCCTCCTCTCTGTCTCCCCTGGAAGACACACGTGAGCCTAACTTCTTTCCTGGTCAGGGCTCTCCTATGGAGTGGCTATCTTGGTAGGAGTAAACTGGACACAGCTTCGACAAGAGCCACAGGAACATCTGCAAATATAAGCAAGTTTTCTGTATGGGGAACACCTGACCATGGCCGGACACTTAGGCATTGGGCAGTCTACCAGGATAAAGAAGTATCCCATGAAAAGTATGGTGTAAACGTCCAGAAACTGCCTCCCCTGGAGTCCTGTCAGAGCAGGGCTAGAATTTATAGCCATTCTCCAGAGAGAGACTGCAAGACCAAATTAGAAAGAATTTATATCTTTAATATTTACAAAACACTATGTTACTGATATTTTTTCTTTTGCCTTGGGCATCGATATGGCTCAGCATAGCATTATTACTGAGTCTGTCTTTATTGCAATAAAATGTTACTTATCCCTTCAACAAATAGTGCTGGGACAACTGCATATCCACATGCAAGAGAATGAAATTGGATCCCTGCCTCATGCTGTACACAAACATTAACTCAAGGTAGATCATAGACCTAAATATAAGGGCTAAAACTGTTGAATTCATGGAAGGAAATGCCAGAGTAAAATGGTGTGATCTAGGGTTTAGCAATGATTTCTTAGATAGGACACTAAAACTGCAAGTGATGAAAGATAAGATTTTTAAGTTTTACTTTATCGAAATTAAAAATTGTGTGCCTCTAAGGAGATCATTAAGAAAGTGAAAAATAACCTATCACCCCCCTCCTCTATTATATAGCCATCTATTGCTCTTAAAATAAGCTCCAGTCCTCCTGCCATGACCTCCCAGTCCTGCAGAGGACCTCTGCCAACCTCTCCAGCTCCATCACATCTTTTGTCTGTTTTGTGCTCCACCAGCTCAGCCACTTGGATCTCCTTTGCCAAGGAGTGTCCTCCCTCTGGAACCCAATACCAGCTCTTTCTTCTGGATGGAATCTTCTCTCAGCTCTTTTAAGGTTAGTTCTTGCTTTTTAGCATTTCATTACACTGTTACGGTTTGTGAGACCTCTAAAGGGACCTTCCCTACTTACTATGGATATCATCACTCAGTGCATTAATTTTCCATTACTGCTGTAACAAAGTGATACATACATGGTGGCTGAAAACAACACAAACTTAGCTGGATGTGATGGCTCATGCCTGTAATCCCAGCAATGTGGGAGGCTGAGGTGGGAGCCTTGTTTGAGGCCAGGAGTTCAAGACCAATCTGGTCAACATAGAGAGCCTCCATTTCTAAAAAGCAAAAATAAAAATAAAAAAAAAAATTAGCCAGAGTAGCTGAGGCAGGAGGATCTCTGGAGCCCAGAAATTTGAGGCTGCAATGAGCCAGTTCGTGCCAATGCATTCCAGCGTGGGTGACAGAGCAAGAACCTGACTCCAGAAACACACACACATACACACACACACACACTCACTGTCTTACAGTTCTGTATGTTAGAAATCTAACGTATGTCTCAGTGGGCTAAAATCAAGGTGTTTCAGGGCTGCATTACTTTTCATAAAGGACATTTCATTTCCTTGCCCTTCTCAGATTCTAGAGGTTGCCTGTATCCTTGGCTCATGGCCCCTTCCTCCACTTTCTAAGCCAGCAAAATTGTATCTCTGACCTTTTCTCTGTAGTCACTTTGTCTTTGGACTCTCCTCTTCTGCCTCCTTCCTTCACTTTCAAGGACACTTGTGACTACCCTGGGCCCATCCAACCAACCCAGAATAATCTCTCTATTTTAGGGTCAGCTTATTAGCAACCTTGATTCCAGCTTCAACCTCATTTCTCCTTTGCTGCATAACCTGACATATTCAGAGGTCCTAGGTATGAAGACATGGATGTCTTTAGGGATGGAGGCATTATTTTGCTTATCACACCCAGCTTCAATTCTTCCTTAGCATCTCTGAGACCTTAATCATTCTGTTGGTTAATTGTTTTTCTTACCTGCTAGGATGTAAGACCCTGGGAATCTTCAGCCTGCTGTCACAGGTAAAATCTTGAGTGTAATAGGAATGTGAAAAATCGTGTTTCTCAACCATGTCTGTCCATCAGGAGCTATACATTTGCTCATGCACTTACTAATGTTTATTAAGCACCTACCTAGAACCAGACACTGTTTGACTCAGGATGTGTCAGTGAATAAGACAGACCCCAATCACTACCCTCATGGAGTTTACATCTTTGGTAAAGCTTTAAATAATATAGATGTCTGGGCTCCACCAGCCACTCCAGAAGCCAAGCCACTTGGGTGAAGAACAGCTAATCATTAAATGGCAAGTTAGAATCATTCAAATTATTTTTTCCCACACGTTGGACTATCATTCCAGAGGGAGGGTTTTACTGGAACAGTGCTTCTAAAACCATCTTTGATAAAGGACAAATTGTTTTCTAATTCCAAACCATTGTGGATTGAAACTTTTGTAAAATACAGTAAAAACAAATTACTAGAAAAATCTAATATTGCTTGGTTATCATGGCAGGGTCAAATGCCTATAAAAGTTTTTCAATACTCTCAATTTCTACACTAATCCGATGATAGATGGATGACAAATAGTTCTCAGAACAGCCCAAGTCCTGAGACACTGACTTAGTTTAAATTTTTTCATCTGTGAAATGGAGATAATTTTATATATGGAGAGTTATTAGAAGGATATAATTGGGTAATATAAATAAATCACCAAAGTCAGCATTGGCTTAGTAAGTGGTAACTATAAATGTCCATAGATGTTACACTTCAATAATTCTAAATAATACTTTAATACTCAATTGTTGGTGTCAGAAAATTCAAACAAGGGTCGGGGGTATCCTCCCAGTCAGTCAGAAAGAGGCATCTTGCTAGGTCGTCATAAAAACAATGTAGATTTTAAATATCTGTGTTTGGGATTTGTTTTTCATTATAAACAGAAACACAGGGAAAATATGCATTTGAGTACTGCTGATGAATAATAATCACTGAGAAACCCCATTTGCCTTTTAAACTCCAGCAGATGTTACCCTTCCCCACTGCAAACCAAGCCCACCCTCAGGCCTATTAAACAAAATGCTGGCTGTCACTGACTGACAAGGTCTGAGGATTGGCTCTTTTTAAACAGCCACAAGGTCATGGGGATTAAACGTTCTCCAGGGAGTCACAGGAAAAGTAGAATGTCAGCACTGCCTTTTCTCTGTGAAGATGGCTCAGTGACATTTTCAGAAAGGAAGGACTACTGCTACCTGTCAGCACTCAACGGAGGACACAAGGTTAGATGCAAAGCAGGAAGGTTACTCACCACCGGGAGATTGGCAGCGCAGCTGCAGCTTTGTTCCGAGATGCAGTGCTAATGGGGCCGACCTGGAGAACTCGTTCAAGGGCTGGGAAGTGGAGACCAAGCCCAAAATGAGAAGCAGCATGGCACAAGGAAGAGAGCAAAAGCTTCGGCAGTAGACAGTTCTGGGTTTAAATCTCAGCCCTAGTATTTGCTGATCCTGTGACCTTAGGCGTTTCACATAATCTCTCAGACAGCAGAACCTCCCTTGAAGGACTGTCATGGGTGTTAGTGATATTGTGTGCAAATGCCTGGCACATGTTGAGTGATCGCTGAGATTTAGCTATTGCCACAGATTTAGCTATTGTTTCAGGTGCCAACAACAAGATTCAGTGAAAATGCACGTAACCTCCTTTGCCTGTTTGTCACATCGTTTTTAACCTTTGTACATGAATGACTCTGGTTAATGCTCATGTATACAGATACAATCAGTTCTCTTCACCACACACACAGTTTTGTTCCATTATTATCTAGCTACAAAATAATAATCTTTAACAAGAAATTCAAATATGTTAAGTAAGTGTGTGTGATTGTGTACTTGTGTGTGCGGGAGCACACATGGGAGTTTTTACTGAAGATTTGTAGCATCATTGAAGAAGGTTCTCGCAGTGCCATGCTCCTCATTCTACTAAAGACCCTCGTCTGGCACCTTTTGTTCCTGGAGTATCTACTCTATCCACTTTGCTAAGATGGAATTAGAAAGTCCAAGTCTTTTTTTTTTTTTTTTTTTTTTGAGAAGGAAAATGTGGAATAAAAATTATTCAAGTTTCCCAGACTCAACTGAATGTTAAAAATGGACAATGAGTCTTGCAGAGAGGAAATAATCTAATTGAACTGAAAGTATTACAGCGCCCTAAAAAAGAATAAAATCACATTTTTTTTTGCAGCAATATGGATGAAGCTGGAGGCCATTATCCTAAGAGAATTAACACAGAAACGGAAATCCAAATATCACACTTCCTTGCTTGTAAGTGGGAGCTAAACATTGAGTACACATAGACACAAAGAGTTCGGAAACAGTAGATACTGCGGCTTACTTGAAGGTGGAAGATGCGAGGAAGGTGAGGATAAAAAAACTACCGATTGGGTTCTATGATTATTATCTGGATAATGAAATAATCTGTATAACAAACCCCAGTGACATGTAATTTATCCATGTAACAAACCTGTACATGTATCCTCTGAATTTAAAGTGGAAGTTGGAATTTTAAAAAGACTGCAAAAATCACGACCTTAAACACAGGCCATCACAGCCTTACACGAAAACTACTTCTACAAGGACATCTACCCAATAACTGCCTGTCCAACCTTGGACTGACATCAACCTTGTTATTTCTCTCTGTAGCCATGGATAATTATTTGAGAACAATTATGTATGCTGTATTTTTTTTCTTTAAAAACCTTTGTCTTCATTTAGCTCCCTAAAAACACAAATGATTTAGTATGGCATATGTATTCCCATTGAATTGCTTTGTTCCCAAATAAATATATTTTCTTTAAAAAAAAATTGTTTACAGAGGTGCAGGGCTCTGAATTGCCTTCTCTGTGGTGTTGAGGGTGGAAGGATTCAAAATATTTACGACCCAGTGAGTTAATCAAAGCACATGGTTAGCTGGGTCATCAGCTTATGAAAAAGGTATCAGGAAAATTAAATTGGACTCTTCTGTGTGCTCTACCATATGTTGGAGGTTAGATAAGGACTATCTGAACTCTTGGAGATACCAATTAAAAAAATAAACCTGACTCTGTTTTTGCTGGCGTGTAGTCTGACATTTCAACCTGAGAACTGTGATAGTTCCAGTATTTGTGAAACATAGTCTGAAGTGTTGAAGTCATTGGCACATCTGTTGGAGTATGTTATGCTTTGGCTCTGTGACTCCACCCAAATCTTATCTCAAATTTTAATCCCCACATGTTGAGGGAGGGAGGCGACTGGATTATAGGGGCAGTTTCCCCCATGCTGTTCTCATGATGGTGTGAGTTTTTGTAAGAGTTGATAGTTTTGTGTGTTTGGAAGTTCCTCCTTCACTCTTCTGTCTCCTGCCATTGTGTGAAGAAGGTGGCTGTTTTCTCCTTCCGCCATGATTGTAAATTTCCTGAGGCTTCCCCAGCCATGCAGAATTGTGAGTTAATTAAACCTCTTTCCTTTATAAATTACCTAGTCTCAGGTATTTCATTATAGCCGTGTGAAAATGGACTAATACAATGAATTTATACCAGGAGAGGGGCACTGCTGTAAAGATAACCTGAAAATGTGGGAGCAACTTTGGAACTGGTTGATGAGCAGAGGTTAGAATAGATTGCAGGGCTCAGAAGAAGGCAGAAGATGTGGGAAAGTTTGCAGTTTCCTAGAGACTTGTTGAATGGTTTTGATCAAAATGCCGATAGTGATGTAGACAATGAAGTCCAGGCTGAGGGGGTTCTCAGATGGGGATGAAAAACTTCTTGGAAACTGAAGCATAGGTCACTCTTGCTTTGCATTAGCAGAGGCTGGCGTCATTTTGCCCCTGCCCTAGAGATCTGTGGAACTTTGAACTTGAGAAAGATGATCTGAAATTGGAACTTATGTTTAAAAGGGAAGCAGAACATAAGAGTTTAGAAAGTTTGCAGCCTGTGAGTCAATTAAACCTCTTTCCTTTATAAATTACTCAGTCTCTGGTATTTC